CAAATTGATAAATGAGCTAATATTTGGATTGGAGCACCCTAATACTTATGAAAACCTAACTTTAAGAATTAATGGGGTCACGCACATGAGAATTATTTAATAACTTGAGATATTAAATAATATTCATTGGCAAAGATTAATCTAAGCAATATTGGACTTAATGGATTAAGTCCTTAATGGGTTAAATAGGAAACTTAACCCCAATCATCATTTTATATGAAACCCTAATTTCACTTGGATTAAGTCTTGGACCTTTCATTTGGGCCTTGATGATTGGATTATAAATGGGCCATCCAAGATCAAGCAAATGGACTAGAATAGTTAATGGGCTTTGTGGTAAGGCCCATATGAGGAGTTGGGCCTAATTTGGAAAATTGGGCCATAGATGGGCCATAGTTTGGGCCTTTATGATTATGTGATATTAGGCCATTATAATGTTGAATGTTGGACTGGACTAAATGGTTAGGCCTTATGGTAAGACCTTGTAAGGGTTTGGGCCCAATTTAGAAAATTGGGCCATATGTCGGGCTTTGATTCCTAGTTGGCTTTGAGCCTATGGATTGGGCCTTGTTGGGCTTAAATAAGCCAAGCCTGGGGTAATGTAGTAATTATTCAAGTATTTATTATGGTTATGTGTTGGGACCCAATTATTAATTGGGTGTTATTTTGGTGTTGACAATTCGGGAATCTGTCAACCAATAGCTGGGGCTCAGCCTACAGGACTTCAACAGTGTGGGATTGTGTCTTCGGGACTTCAGCAGTGTGAGGTGAGTTACCTTCCAATAGTGGTGGGTCTACGGCCACAATGCGGGCCCACCAGTAGGAGTTGTATGTTAGATGATTGTCTTTGTGATATTCATCTAGGTTTGCTACTACTTAATATGTTTATGTGCTAGTATGTTATGAAGTTATGTGATAGTGGTAGTAGGGGTGAAATAGTCCCCGCTTACCAGTCGATAGGACCGAAGGGGTAGTCTAGTACCCAGCCATGCTAGCCAGATTATGATATGTATGATATGATATTATGTGGTTGTAGTAGGGGTGAAATAGTCCCCGGTTACCGGTCGACAGTGTAACGCCCGCGTTTCCAAGCTAGGCATTATGATTGATGTAATAGTCTAGGTTAACCCTTGTAACTCTTTTTGGAGTATTAATGATGAAATATTTGAGTATTATGTGAATTATGTGTTTATTTTCTTAATTATTATAAATTAATGAATTAAAAATAAAATAAGCGTCAAATTTGAAGTGTGGGATAAGCCCGATATCTTTGCATAAAGATGTGGTGGTCAAAACAAGGATTCCAAATATATAAAGAATGCCGAAATCCGAGTTATAACGAAGAAGTTATGACCTGTCGAAGTTTCGCGACAGAACCGACAACGCTGAATGACGTAAAAAGTGAAATTTACGTTAGAGAAATATTTAGCCTTAGTGATCTAAACGAAAGTCGTAGAGTTCATTAAACCGAGAGCGTGCATAAAAAGAACGCCCAAATCTGACTTCGTATGAGGAAGTTATTATTTTTCGAAGTTTCAACTTAGCAGTATGCATCCCGAATACTCGATTTGAGATCGAGCGGTTTTTAGCCGAAACAATCTAAATGAGAATCGAAGGGCTCGTTAATAGTAGTAAAACGATAAAAAGATAGGCGAAAACGGACGTCGGATGAAGAAGTTATGAATTTATAACGGAATTTTCCTATCCCGGTCTGTTAAAAATAAATAATAAAAATAAATTCAAAATTATCTGACGGAGTCTAAACGAAAGTTGTAGATCGTAATCTCACCTACGCGTGGATATAAAGAACGTCGAAAACGGAGTTCGTATAAGGAAGATATGAATTTTTGAAGTTTATTAAATATTTTCGATATTTAATTTGAATATAAATTATCCGATATTATCCAAGGGGGGGAGTCAGCGAGCTGATCCTCATTACGCCCATTGTAATTTCAGATTACGCCCAACGTAAATCGAAGTTCCAATCCCTATAAAAGGATGTCGAGGGCAACCGAGTTCCTGGCTTACTTCTTCCCTTTTTCTCGCGTTTTTGCATCGTTTTTCGTGCAAGAATTATCCCGAAGCCCCGGTATCATTCCCGAGCCCCGAAGCAAGTCCCGAAGCCCCGAAGATCCCGAGAAGTGCAATTCCCGAGCCGAAGCTCTGCCCGCGAGGAGTCCGATTTTTGTGAAGATATTCTAGATCTGCCGAAGAATACTACTTCTATAAGCCGTAGTGCTGTCCGATCATCTTCTGATCAAGTGAGTGTGTAGTTACTTTCTTCTAACGCATAATTATGAAGTATTTTATATGAAATACGTGCTATGTGTATATTTTGTGTTATATGTGTCAATGCATATTCACTTTCTTCTATCTCATAGATATGATTTATTCTCTATGAAATACGTGTTATGTGTATGTGTCTCATATGTTGTTTGGAATATGTATTTAATGAGAATGTTATACAGGTTTTAAACTATGTATAAAAATATATATTTTAATCTACTAATATGCCGGGTAGAACATAAGTAGATAGTTGTGTGATAAACAGATGAGAGGCCTCGATGTTGTTTTTGATTCAGTCATCTAGCGGAGTTTAGATGACGACCACAGACTTTTCTAGACAGTCATGTGGAACGCTAGCAGGTTCGCCACCTGTAGGTGTTAATGAACTTGGGTGTTCATTCGCTGTACTCCATCCCCCTCATGGTTGCCTTATTTGACATATATTGCCAGGAAACCCCCGAATGCATGTGTTGTCGCCCCAATGAAATATTCTAAGACTAGGTCCCTTGTGTTAGTTGTTTTAGGGACATAAAGTGAGAATAATGGGAATGGGTAATTGGGTTATTGTTGGTTGGTGGAATTAAATATAATTATTTATTGTGGGTTGAAAACCTTATATGCTCACCAGGCTCCCAAGCCTGACCCACTTAGTTTTATTTGTATTACAAGAAGTGGCGCAAGGGCATAAGATGGATGAATCATCAAGTTGTTTTGTTTACAAGTCTGTATATGTCTATATTTGTTGAATGACTTGTAATGTTATCGTTTATGCTTTACGGTATGTATCGGAACATGACATCCCGAGTTTTGATTATATAATGAAAATACATTTCTTTTATGAAATGCTTTGGTAAATATTACTTTATCACGTTTTGTTTTTGGGAACAAATTCCGCAACTCTTTCAAATCAAAAGGATTTACTCTGAAATTATTTTAAAAGCATAAATGAAAAATCGGTCTTTTTTGGCTGAGATTTTGGGGATGTCACAAACAGGACCGAAGGGGAGGCCAACACCAAGATATGCTAGCCAGTATCCGGTCGAGAGGACCGAAGGGGAGGCTAGCACCTAGATATGCTAGCTAGTATCCGGTCGAGAGGACTGAAGCGGAGGCCAACACCCAGATATGCTAGCCAGTATCCAGTCGAGAGGACCGAAGGGGTAGATCGGGCACCCAAATATGCCTGATAATATATGTATGTTATGTGTTTATGGTATGTGGTATGAGGAGGGAACTCACTAAGCTTCGTGCTTACGATTTTCAGTTTTGGTTTCAGGTACTTCGTGTCTAAAGGAAAGGAGCCGGCTTGATCGCAACACATCACACTATGGTTTTCTGCACATGAGATCTTTGGGATTACACTCTGATATTGTTTTATGATAACATGTTTAATTATTTCTACTTTGGTTTTGACATAACATGATATTACAAATGTTTTATTACACTGTTGGTTTTATAATGACGTATCTAAAAATAAAATTGTTGGCCTGTATTTTTGGGATGTTACAATATCAAAAAATGATAACCTAGTGTAGTTTCCTGTAAAACAAAACTAGCAAAACAACAAAAAAATATTATAAAAAAAAGTCTCGCCTAAAACTACTAAATCAAGAAGAAGAAAAAAAAAAGGCCTAATGGCATACTGCAAGTGTCCTAAACGCAGGAAGGGTTCTAGAAATCAAAATCAATATTCACAAAAAAAAAAATCATGAAATCAGAATCAATAATCGTTGTTAATAAAATCCCAAAAATCAGAATTCAGTACTAACGAAATTATGGAGATTAATAGAAATCAAAATCAATTTAGAACCAATATTAACAATACTTGATCAAAATTAGTGCAAAACTTATGTTAACAATACTACAAAAAAAACCCTAATATTAACAATACTTAATGAAAACAGTTGAAGTCAACTGTTGCGGTCTAATACTACTTCATGCGATTTGGACTTTCAGTTAACCAGAAAACTAGTAATATTAGATTTGAAATCATAGATCAGAAGAAGAACTAGGCTTTCTCGATAGTGTAAAGATGTAAAGGCACTATGGGAGAAGATGAACTAAAAAACTAAAATAAGAAAACAGAACTACCGTTGATATTCAATACTGCTCCAGGTTTCCTCGTCTTCTCTGATTTTCTTGACTCTTGGAATTAGGTGTGCTGGGTGCGTTCACCAAGAAAATTAAGGTGTGCTTCTTTTTTTCTCCGCTCGGCTTCTGCCTTCTCAAACCTCAAACCGTGCCCTTGTCAGGAAATAGATGTCTTGGGCCTAAATGTAATGCATACCCAAAAGAAGAAAAAGCAAAAGTTGATGCCCTGGGCAGTGGCTAGCTCGTCCTGCTTTTGGATCGGCCCTGATTGTTGCTTATTAAGTTATTATGTTAGATTGATATTTGATTGTTCATTTAATTCTAGTCAATATAAAACGATAATTATTACTTAATTTAAAGATGTATATAATTCATATAAATTAACATGAAAAAGTTACCCGAAAATGACTTGTTGACTCTTTAATCCAAAATCGACCTACTGACTCACATACCCATATAATTAAAGAGGTTATATGGATTGAATCGGGTTAATGTTTCCAACCCACTGAACCATATATTATAATACGATCGAATTAAATCAATGTATTCTAAATATAGGTAATTATATGCAAATTCATGATCACGAGCTTGAACCACAGTTATTAGACCTAAGTATCGGTAAGGTGAAATTGTCATTGGCGGCGAAACATTATTGACTAATGAAAGTACATAGGGACATTAACGTAATTTCGCATGGAGCCTACCGAACACATCATCAGATTCCTCGCTGCACAGTTGACAGTCCACAACATATGAACTCATCTTCCCTCTATTCCTCCTCCGATCGATCCTATCCTACTTTTCATTTTTATTTTCAACAATCTACCCCCAATTCTATCGTAACAATCCACATACGAGATGTCAGAACTCGCTGAGAAATCTCGCCGGAGTTAGTTTCTAGCTCCGGGGTGATACACAACTCCGATTGTCACTTTGGTACACTAAATTCAACCAAAAAGGTATGTTAGGGTTTCTGTTAGTTTGAATTTCCACCAGTTTCACTGATTCAGTCATTCGTTTTTTTATCGGTTCTTGCTCATATGGACATCTAAATTCAGTAAATTAACGGACGAATTTTTTAGTTAACCTTTCAATTTGATGTTGTTGACTGTTCCAAAATTTGACTTATTTTATTATCGTTGCAAATATTTGCTACTTCTCTATTTCACTGGTTCCATGGAAGTCGTAAACGTTAGCATTTCCACGAAATCTTCATTTTTGTTTCTGTCTATTTACCCGTGAAACCTAATTATCGCATTTTGGGGTTAATACTTGTATTGTTTTTTTTTTTTTTTTTTTTTTTTCTGTGATTTAAGGATTAAGGATTTATTTGTTAGATGCCGAATAGATGATAGCTCATTTTCTTTTTGCGTTGTTTTAGTTATTTGATCAAGCTGATTAAATGGGAGGAAACATATGATCCATTTCAAAGATTTTGAAGTCCTTTTGCAATGGTGAAGGCATCAGGTTATCTAAAGTTGACTGGTGGTTCTTATGGTAAAAATCAAGCATCATTATCAGATCAAGAAAGAAACTTTCAGTCTGTAACGACCAAGGATTCAAATGATATTCATCTTGGTAGTGGGACCCACACATTACACTCCAACCAAGAAGGAAGTTCAAGTCCCATCTCTGTAAATCAAGAAAAAACTATAGCCACTTCAGAGCAAAATCCTTCTCCAAAAGAAGGAAATATTGTTGTCAATGTATTATCAAAGTCACCTGAAAAACCTACAGTTGATGGCTTTAACTGGAGAAAATATGGTCAAAAACTAGTAAGAGATAATGCATTTGTAAGAAGCTACTACAAATGTACATATGCAAAATGTCCAGCTAGAAAACAAGTTGAACATTCACATGATGGACATATCAAAGAGATAAATTACTTATGCAAGCATGAACATCCAAAACCTAACCATTCATCTTTCACATCTGAAAGTAATCAATCAATTCCCAATTCCCAATTCCCAATTCCCAAAATTTTCCTTTTATTGTTTCACTAAACAACTTGTAAATGCCTTTTTGCAGCTTTGAATGAGAATTTTGTGGAATTTGAAATGTTGCAGACTAATGAAACAGAAATTGGGGATGACAATAATGCGCCACAACTGAAAAAACAGTATGTTAATGCACTATAGTAATTTTAACATGTTTGTTTCCTATTTTGTGAATTGGAATGAGGTAATTATTAAGTTTTTACAGGAAGAAAGAGAGTGATAATGTTGTGACAAAGACAAATTATGAGCCACGTGTAGTTGTTGAGACTAAAAGTGTGGTTGATATTGTGAATGATGGATACAGATGGCGGAAATATGGGCAGAAAATGGTTAAAAACAGTCCTTATCCAAGGTGCTTTTTAAATTCACATTATCATTTGTATGAATCTTTTACAATGATATATGAATATAATAATCAAAACTCAAAAGAAAAACTGTTGAGACGTTTTATCGAACAGTTGGTGTGCATTAGTTTAATTACTAACAAAGAAACTGTTGAGACATTTTATCGAACAGTTGGTGTGCATTAGTTTAAAGTAAAGTGATTAATGTTTTGTTTAGGAGTTACTATCGGTGTTCAAATGCTGGGTGCCCAGTGAAGAAGCATGTAGAGAGAGCATCACATGATGAAAAAGTGGTGATTACAACTTATGAGGGACGCCATGATCATGACATGCCTTCTGGAATCAGAAATGTTACACAAAACATGAAGGAAAATAACAATGGCACAATGGATGATGATGGTAATCATGATCATGATAATAATAATAATAATAATAATAATGATAATGATGATGATGATGATCCACAACCACAAGCGAAAACAAATGAAAGTAAAGGTATGGAAATGTTTGTTATTGTTATATGATGTTTCCATAAGTTAGTTTTATTTTGCTTTAAGGTCTGTATCAAACACGTATTTTAGTAATATAATACTTGTTATTTTAATAAGAAAGTAATTTTCATAGTAACTTATTAAATCCTTTTGAATTAATGTCTTTTGGAAAGGGTGAATATTGAAATTGGTTCTTAAACTCCTGCTTAGGTATTTAGTCATGAGTTTTTCTTACAGTATTTTTAAGGTTCATTAACTTTTTTATTTTTTGTATATTATATTCTAATGACTAGTCATAACTAAAGACTCCTAAGTTTTTTTTACTTTATTTTTCTTTTTTTTGCTATGGTCTTTTATATTTTTGGTTTCTTAGGCGTTTAATTTGTTTTTGACAAAACTACAAAAATGGTCCCTTTGGTATGTATTTTTTTCTGAGGTTTCGTCCAAATCTTGATTTTTTTGGATTGGTAGTCATTTTGACCTAGTTTTGATGTGTCTTTGGTTCCTCGATAAACTGAAATGATTATAATGCCCCTCATGTATTTGTTTTTTTATTTTTCTTTCATTTTTTAATTTAATATATATTTATCTATTTTAATAATTAATAAATAAAGAGAGGTCTCTCTCTCTCTCTCTCTCTCTCTCTCTCCATACACACAAACACTTGCAAAACGCACACTAAAATCACAAGTTCAAGAATCGAAATACTAAAATCGAATTGAATATGAAATCATGTGTATCTTCTTCCAATCTGAAAACGCATGTGTTCTGTGTTTTATTCCTAAAATTTATTAGTATGTGTGTTTGTGTTTTCCTTTTGGAAATTGATTTGAGTATGTGTGTATGTTTTAATTTCTGCAAATTAATTTTTGTGTGGATGTTCATCCCCGCACGTTTAACCACATATGTTTTCCCCTGTTTGATCAACGATGCATCTCATTCAACGATGCTTAAAGGTGGATGTTCTGAAGTTGGATCATGTCCTCTCTAATCTGTCCCTGGACGATATTATGTAATAGTCGATCAGTCGACAACTGTCGGCCTAAGCATTTCTTGCATCTAATGAACCAATGAAGCCCTAGATTCAAAGGTGGGGCATTTGTGTTTGATCTATGAAGAAGAACAAAAGTTTCTTTCTTGAAGGTGAGACTGTTCCGGTAAATCAAGATTTTAGCATCTACAAATCGATATTTGTAAATTGAAATTTCATCAGCTCATCACCGATTCATCTTCATCGCATCCATTATTTTTGAAGATCATGTTCACCACCACTATCTTCATCTCCCTTTCTAATTTATTCTTCTAGATTTATCCAGTAGAGTTTTTTTTCTTCAGAAATCAAACCAAGAAACAAAACAAAAAGGATTGGGTTTTAATTTCATATGATTTCAAACCTTTGATTTTTTGAGGAGATAGTTTTGAAGGTGCATAGAGAATTGGATGAATTACACGGAGCCCTCTATTTATTAATTATTAAAATAGATAAATATATATTAAATTAAAAAATAAAGAAAAATGAAAAATAAATACATGAGGGACATTATAGTCATTTCAGTTTACCGAGGGATCAAAAACATTTCGTAACCAGGCCAAAAGGACTATAATCGGAAAAAGTCAATGTTTTGACCAATACTCATAAAAAATACAGACCACATGGATAATTTTTGCAGTTTTATCTTTTTATTTTTATTTTTTTATTTTTCTGTTTTTCAAAACATCATTTTTTACTTTGTTCTTATATGTTTTTTTGATCATACGCTTTTACAACATCATTTTTTTTACTTTGTTTTCACATGTTTATTTTTCACTATCCGTTTGCACATCTTTATTTTTTCACTTTGTTTTTACATTTTCTTTTCTAACGCGTTTTTACATTTTATTTTACTCGATTTTGTAATAGTGAACGTGTAGAGTTATGCAATATGAAGTTGTGAAAAAACATGTGAAAAAATTGAAGTTGTAAAACAATTTGTGAAAAATTATATGTAAAAACAAAATAAATATTAAGTTGCAAAAAACGTAATAAAAACATGTAAAAACGAATTATAAAAAAAAAAACATGAAAAGGTGAAATAAAAGATAAATTTGTGAAAAAACATATGAAAAACAAAAAAAATAAACAAATTAAAGGACCTAAGAAACACAAAAAATATTCCGATCCTTAGAATGCCAAAACAAAAGTTTGAGTGACCTTAGAAATCTTCATGAACTTGTTATAATAGGGCATAAGGATGTAATATATACTAAATAAACAAGTTAAACGTTTAATGATCAACCTTAACCCTTAAAAACGCCCTACTATATCAAGCCTTAAAACTTTGTCTATTCAACTCAAACTCCAACATTACAAATCTCAGGAAGCCTTATAATGCATCACAACTTCATCCATCTATTTTTTTTTCTAAATAAAACTTCATCCATCATTTCAAATTAGGTAGAGCGTCGCGACACACAATGATGCATTATAGTTCCTTTGTAAACTTGTGTGTTGAGTTGGAAATACTTTACAATGATGGGTGATAGTTAGATTAGAATATGTCTTTGTATGTAAAAGTATATTTCTTCCATGGGTATATAAAGTTGGTGAACGTGCATTTGTATGTGGTGCACCTTATTATGTATATTAGATTATTAGTATAAAGAGTGTGTAGTGAGAATTTAATTCCCTAGCCACTTGTTCTTCATTTAATATTTTAGCTATCTTTTTATCTATACATTATCTTTTGGCTCATCATATTGCTTGATTATCTTTATTATTATTCATATTCCTCACATGCCAATCGTCCATATGATCCTACATTGCTTCCTTAGTTGTATAATGTCCAATGATCTTGTTTCTTGTTACACTTAAGATGTTTTCTTCGTAATTGTTGCATTTTGCATCTATAAGACTTATGGTTATTGCTTAAAAAAGTTAAAGTTTATTCCACCATTGATGCTTTAATCAACATCTAGATTTAATTTCCACATAACAAACAAGAAAGTACAAGCAAATTTGAAGCCTTATTTATCTTGGTAGGATCTTTTGATCTTACGATCATGATATTGCAAAATGTAAAATGATCAAAGGTAAGATCTTAATTTCCCACATCTCTCATTTTTTTTTATTTAATCTTAGCATCATGTCACTTCCTATCTTCCTCTTTAACGTCCCTTTTACCGGGCAAATGATTACCTCACACTCCTCACACATTAAATATGATTTAAGATGTTGTATAGAGAGAGAGAGAGAGAGAGAGAGAGAGAGAGAGAGAGAGAGAGAGAGTGTTTTCATACATAAAGGAAAACGAGTGTAGTGCTCACTATTACTTACTGTTGTCCAACCCAATTCACTATAAGATACGATGAGACAATACCCTATAATCTAACAACATAAGAGTATCAAATAATCCTACTTGACTATGAAAGGTATGAGAGGTATTCGATGGGTTCATGTGACATATCACATCATACTTTTAAGCTTGGTAAGGAATTTAATAGGAGGTTAATGGTTAATGACTTATAAGGGTAACATAATTTAGGTTTTGTTCATATTTAGTCCTTTAAGTTATTTTTTTTCCACATATTACCATTAAACTTGTTTGACTGTTCACATTACATCCTCATGACAAGTTGTTTAGGTTTTAGTCAGTTTAATGGTAATATGCAGGCAAAAAAGAACATTCGGACTAAATATGAACAAAATCTAAACTATATTACCCTTATAAAACCATTAACCCAAAAGAGATTAGATAAAACTTGTTATATATATATATATATATATATATATATATATATATATATATGTATGTATGTATATATATCCTTGAACTCGAGTTTAGGTATATTAAACCCAATGATGCCCACTTTTTGGAGAGGTACTTAGTACTCTAATCCAGACCTGCATCCAAACTGGTCTCGAAACGATCCAGTCTTTTTAGGATCAGTCTCGTCGTTTGATGTAGGGATGAGCAAATGGACCGGGGAACCGACCGGAACCGGAACCCGATGGAACCGGTTGGGCCGGGATCGGGATGTTATTTTTGTGGATTTTTGGAACCGAGAACCGGTAGGAACCGGAACCGATATAACCGGAACCGGTAGAACCGGCAAAAACCGGTAGAACCGGCAAAAACCGGAACCGTATTATGCTATTTTTCAAGGACCGGTTCCAACATTTGAAGACACGACAAGAACCGGTAGGAACCGGGAACCGGAACCGATAGAACCGCCGGGCCGGTTCGGTTCTTGATTGTGGTCGAAGCCGGTTCCCGGTTCCGGTCCGGTTCGGGCCGGTTCGGGCCGGTTCCAGCCAGTTCGGTCCTTTTGCTCATCCCTAGTTTGATGAGCATGTGTAATATTAGGTAGTTAGTAAGGTAAATGTTGACCAAGTCGATGATTCTTAGTTGGAAGAATTAGATCCAGCAACCAGCCTGAACCCGGTTTGGAACCGGAACCCAGTTTGGAACCGGAACCGTTTTAGACCAATAATGAGAATTGATAACCGGAACAGAACGGGTTAAACTAAAATGACGTACAAATAGAAAACTACATGTTGAAAAAAAATCATGTCATTCCGACTCCAAACGAATGAGTTATGACAAACGAATGAGTTATGACAGTTTAAAAAAGAGGAATAGATTGTGCATAATATTGAAATAAAACAATTAAACTTTGATACTCTATGTTCCACGACATATAACTCAATCAATATGTAACCAAATAATGTATTTTTATAGCCTAAAATAAATTACAAAAAGAGTAAACATGGAAGATGGCAAATTGTGCATTATGCTGAAACAAAAATCATGGAAGATGGCAAATTGTGCATCATGCTGAAACAGAAAACATGGAAGACGATCAGAGCAATCATGTCATAAGGATGTAATGTAAATAGTCCAAACAAGTTCATGATGATGTAATGCTGAGCATTCCAAACAAATTCAATGGTAATATGGTAACCAGAAAAACTTAAAGGAACTAAATGTGAACAAAATCTAAACTATGTTTTCTTCACCAAACAATCACAAAGATGTAAAGTGAACCTCACAAGTTCAATGTTAATACACGGACAAAAAGAAATTTAAGATACTAAATATAAAAAACCTTAGAGATGTTACATTTATAAGTCATTAACTCTTATCCACAGAACAAAAAGGAGTGCGATGTTCACTACAATAAAATTCTTATTATGGTCCAACTCAACTTAACGTATGACAAAGTGAGACTATGGTCCCGTAGACAACAACATAAAAATATCAAATTATCCTACTTGACTATGAAAGGTATAACAATCAAGGTATTCGTTGGGTTCATGTGACATATCACATCATAATTTTAAGCTTCGTAAGGAATTTAACAAGTGGCCAATTATGGGATCCACAAATCTCGACGTAGATTTGCATAGCCCACCCACCCACCTCAGATTATAATTACTGTATAATCATTAGGTTAATAAATTTATATGTTATCAAATTTATAAACTGATTTGCATTTGCTTACTATTTTATATAGTTATACTTTTTAATCTGTTTTTAAATTCTTATCAATTCATGTAGGTACAAACAACAAAGTGATAACAATTTAAAAATTACTGTAAAAGTTAATAAAAAGTCTATTTCGTTATGTGAACTAAAAAATTTTATATGACTTTCATTAATAAAATGTCTATTTCTATATGTAAATTAGTAAAATTTATATAATCCAAAATAAATGAAGAAAAAAAAAAGCTTAGCTAAAACATGTGACAACTTGACAAACAAGATGTATTTTATCCAAAACTTAGTTCTCTCATTGGCTCCCCATATTCCCTCATCTCTCCAAAGTTTTATTCATGCTCTAAAACTCTTTTATATATATAATTCACAATATGCCACATAAACAATAATTGTTGTATCTTTTTTTATCAACAATTAATATAAAAAACAAATCTATATCACAACTAATTTTCATTTAAACTAATGAAAAGAAATATGATCAATGAGATAAGTGTAAGAAACACCATGATAACAC